AATTCGTCCAAGACAAATGTTTGGGTTTGATTTTAGTACGGTAACTACTTGGGAGACTGTTTGACATATCTGTCTCCTTATGGACCATCCGCCACCAACCCTAACCTTCTTAAAAACCATCCCACCACTGGAGAAGACTATTTTAATAGAAGCGGCCCATGGAGAAAGGAAGCAAGCATCTCTTTATCTATTAAGATGCTTCAGTCAGGCCTGCATTTATATTCCTTTTAGAATTTCGGCCTGCCACACTTTCTCTTATTTCATTGTGCTGTTTCATTAGTATAGTTGATGGGAGGGGGGAATAGAAAGGAGTAGGATTGTGGAATGTGNCTAAACGTTGAAACGTGGTTAAATGTGTCTGGAAACATTCAGTAAAGATTCTGGTTTTCTATAAGTGGGTAAAGAGAATTTTTTTCATTCCAAAAACGTCGTCTTTAGATGGGATAACAAGAAGTCACAGATTGATGGTGTGACTTGGGTCTCAAGAAAAACTAATAAACAAGCTATTCAGGGTAATCTTTCTTCTTGTCGTACTCAAACTAAAATTTTCTTTTGCTCGGCCCCAAAACCTGGATTGATCAGATCCTCCTTTAGTGTGGGAAGAGCATGTTTCTTCCCATTGCAAGGATTTTCATTTATATATTCAGTTTTCACCTGGATACATCTATCAGGAAATCAGGATTTTTTAAAAATAGAAGCCGCTCTGGTTAGATTTTAATCTCACGATACTCGGAAAGCTTTAAGTATCCGTGGGGGTTTATGTGTGAAAAACAATGTAAAAATACGAGGTTTTTTCATATAAGATGAAAAAAAAAGGAAGGGGAAACAGCATCTGCTTAATGTTTCTGTCCTGTCTGCCCTACAGTTCACCCACTGCCACTGGTTTCCAGATGTTTCTATTTTGCTGGCCTTATCTCAACCACATCAAAGTCTTTGGAATCTCTTAAGTTAGATGGGGATAATTTATACACAAAAGCAACTAATCCAGGCACATCTAAGTAACATGATCCCCAGCAGTCCTGGGAATAGATTTTCTTTGCAAAGAGCAGCCCAGGTAGTCCTCAATTTACAACAGTTCACTGAGTGACCATTTGAAGTTAACCACGCCACTGGAAAAAAGTGACTTGTGACCCATTTTTCACACTTACGACCACTGACGCGGCAGTGACTGACATTCAAATGTTTGACAATGGGCTCGTTTTTACGGCGGTTGCAGTGTTCCCGGGGTTACGCGATCCCCCTTTTGCGACCTTCTGACAAGCAAAGTTGATGCGGAAGCCAAATTTGCTTAATGGCAGTGTTGCTAATTTAACAACGGCAGTGATTCAGATGGTAAAATGGGGGCAAAACTCACTTGACAAATTTCTCACTTGACGACATAAATTGTGGTCGTTAAGTCAGAGGTGGGTTCCTACCAGTTCGCACCAGTTCGGTAGAACCGGTTCGTCAAATCTACTGAACCGGTTAGAAGAGGTTCCACCAGTGGACTCGGAAAGCAGGCCACACCTACAGAAGAGGNATATTGGAACCCTGCTATCATGTCTCCACTAGTCCTTCTTTTCCATTAAACTAGACACAACCAATTCCTGCAACCGTTCTTCACATGTTTTAGTCTCCAGTCTCCTAATCATCTTTGTTGCTCTTCCCTGCACCCTTTCTAGAGTCTCCACATCTTTTTTACAAGCCAAACATCTTCAAGGACAGAGCAAGAAAGTCCAGTTATCTCTTGAAAAAGCACCTTATGGTGACCCCCATGATCTGGATGATTGAGAATCCCCCACCAACACTTATGAGAAACCTCACAGCCTTCACACACACACCCCCCGGTTTACCCTTAAGCCTTTCCATGCTTCGTATCTGTACTACACCCCCCGAAAGAAACAGTCACAAAAAGAGGCAGAAGTGAATCTATGGGTCAGATTTCCCACGTTAACTCGTGCCATCTGTTTTCAAGCTGTTCGAAGAGGCGGGCATCGAAAGAAAAAAATCACATTACTGTCTCCTGCGCCAAGGTGGCAAGAAGCAATTTCAGGAGTTTTCATAATTTCCAAAAGCAGCAATTATATCACCAGCCCAGGGCGACGGTGGCAGTGGGGGGAAAAAAATTGTATTTCCATTACTTCTGTTTCATGCTAATAATGTAGCTTGGGATTTGCGATGGCGGCTATCTTGGCCCAACAATCTTATTCTTAAAAAGGGTAAACGGAGAGTTTCTCCAAATGTGATTTTTTTTTTCAGCCCCAAGGTGAGACTTCACAATTTCCGTTCCTACTCAAAAGTTTCCTTACAGCCATCGTTCCCTTGGCTGGTTTGAATTATTTTGAACAGGGGGAGGAGAAGGAAAAAGGTTCTGGAGAAGAACGTTGGGGTGGGTCAACTTGCCATGGCCAACTTGCTGTGGGACAATTGAACAATTCGATTTAATTATTGAAAATAGATTGGATTGGATTAGATTGATTTCATTTATATGCTGCCCTTTTCCCCGAAGGAGACTCAGTGCGGCTCACAATTCAGTCAGGGAAAGGGGTACAGACAGGGGATAAAAAGACGAACATAACAGTTGGCCATGAAAAACACACAACACCCATACCATTCGAGGAGGGGGGCAGAAGCTCTTTAGCCCCAGGC